GAGAGAGAGAGAGAGAGAGAGAGAGAGAGAGAGCGAGAGAGAGGGGAGGGGGCGGACTTTCTCGTTCAGTTTGACCTAATATACAAGTATACAGCGGCAAATGTCACCATTACAGTTTATCTACCGTAAGAGCGTGATTATTCACGCATCTTCTTGGATTAATAATTTAAAATTTTACGTGGTTGTTCGCAAAATGGTAAAGTTTTTTGTTTAACCTAATCTACTTGTACACCGCGATTCCTTTGTGAGTTACCAGATACCTTATATCTCTCTTCTTATATTATAAAAGGAATCTTGTATTATATATACACGCTTGTATTATATATAAACGCTTATTAATTGCATTTTAATGTCTGCATTCAACTGTCTGACATTATTCAATGTTAAACAACTGCAGCGTGTTTTTCTTCTTTCAGTGTAAGATATATAAAAATCTCTGGAACGGTCCAATATTTTGAAAGTAGTATCAATTGCGACGATAATGTTTAAGGAGAAAGTTTTGAGATATCCATACATGGAAAAAAATATGATTGAATTAATCGATTAAAGCTCATGACTAGACTAATAAAGCAAAAAATAATAATTGGAAATAAAAGCGATGCGTAAAAAATTATTACTGACAGAAAAAGCACCTTGCAAAAATGGATTTTGTAACAGATTGCTGTAAACAAATTATTAAATTTCAACTATAGGAGAAAAGTGACTCATCCAATCATTTCTGCGAGAAAATTTATAGAAAAAACATATATAATTTTTTCTCGTAACATCGTTTATCTTTGATAAAATAAATAAATAAATATCACGGTTAGTTGAAACTCGTTCAAAACCTATGACTAGACCAGTAAGTTTAGCAAAAAACAATAATTGGCAATAGTATAAAAAAACATTTATTATATAAGTACATTACAAAAATTTTGTAACTATTTTTTGGAGAAATAAGTTCATGTTAAACTATGACTATTTAGACCTTTTTTGATAGACATTTATATAATGACATCTTTGACGCAACTGTTATAATGTAAGTCGTATTAGCTTTTATTTATTCAAATATTTTCACGTCTTCAATACGATATATTCGTAGTACTATTATTTGTTCTTCTTTCTATTCACTTCTAGTCACTTTTTTGCAGTCTAACGTTGAAATAACACGCTATTGTAAATAATTTATTTTTTTTTCTTCCGTGTTTGTGTGTGTGTGAAAAAGAATGTTTTCCTTCATGTTTTACAAACACATTTTCCATAATATTAATTTTTTATAATATTAATTATACTTTTCATAATATTTTTTTTGTGCGTTTATTGCTATCAACTATGTTTTCTTGCTAACTTTACCGGTCTAGCTATGAACTGAAACGAGTTTCTATTAACAGTCATATTTATTTATTTATTTTTTACGTAAACAAAAAACGCTACGTAAAAGTTATATGTTTTTTGTAACTATTCCCATAAAATTGAGTGGATTAGTCAATTTTTTCTACAGCCAAAATTTAATAATTTGTTTATAACTATTATGTTAATTGCACAAATAATTTTTATAAGGTATTTTTATAAGGTTATGTTAGTAATAGTGAAATATCCAGTTATGATGAAATAGTCAGTAATGGTAAAATTTGTGTCAATAATAATGCACCAGACCTTCGGTTAAATTTACTACAATGTTTCTTCCTCGAATTTTGACCACTCCGAGCTTTCTACATATCCAGAATATTATTTAGATATTGTATAGTAATAGAATTTATTTAATTGTACTTGATTTCTGTAAAAGAGAGCTTTGATACTCGTAGAGTAACATGATCCTATGAAGACACCGGTTCTCGTTCCTTGTAATTCTTTGGGGTTTACACCGGCATCGATAATCGCTTCATAAGTGTGTTCAAGCAACATTCTACACATAGGATCTGTAACGTGCGCTTCGAAAAACGTCATGTTGAAATATTGCGCGTCGAACTTCTCTGCATTATTAATCATTCCTAATCGAGCCGGCATGTCATAGTGAACTGTTAAAATTCCAAACATTCACCTTATTATACTTATAATGTAATCTTCCGAATTTCTCGAATAAAACAACGACAGATTATTGTTTTTTATAATAGAGGGTAAAACTACATAAAAGGGTATATATATATATATATATATATCCGATTGTTTTCTTTTTGAAAAATGTTATAGATAATGAAATTCTGAGTAACTTTTTCCTCTACAACTATATAAAGGTCGCATATAGTTTCGGAGATATTCAGCTTTAAAGTTTTGAAAGTGTATGTAATATAAATGGACTTTACTGCATTTTTATATAGACATATACTATAAATACAATATGTAAATATTTATAATATGTAAATATGGTAATATAAATATCACGCACATACACACGCACACACACATACACTGCTCACCCGCCTGGCCGGTCTCGCGGTGCGTGCGAATGTTATGTTATATTTGAAGTTTTATAAATACACACTTTTTCTCATACTTTTGTGAGAAATTCTCACTCTTTAGTTTAAGTACAACAGACTTGGCCCCCCTCCCGCCACGGTGCAAGAGGTCTGGGGAGGCATAGCCCCCTCGTTTCATAGCTACAGACAGGCATCTTTTTTATTAATATCTCGGAAACTATAAGCGACCGCCGCATAGCCGTATACATGTACTTTGTTTAATATACTACGGTTAGCTGCTACGATTAGGGTCATTCATAATATGTACAGAGTATTACACTTACATATAGGTCAGTATGACGGATTGCCTCGTCGGCAAGCGTGCGTACCGTGTCATAGTAGACCATGACGAAACTGTCACGCGCGCTTTCTTTCCTATGAAGTTTATTGCGTTATCACTCGCCAAGTTATTACGATCGCGACGGACTTACGATCGGATTATTAATCGGTTATGACAGAAATAATAATACAGATATAAGAAGAAATGGAGACTTCCGTTTCCGGTGTGTGTTAGATGACTGACAAATTAAGAGTGTGGAGAGAGTGTGAGAGAAAGAGAGAGAAAGAGTTGGTATTGAGAGGTGGTGTGAGTAAGAGGAAGAGAAGGATAGTGAGGGGAGTGTGGGAGTGTGTGGGTGACAGGGAGGGAATGGTGAAGGGATGGAAAAGTGAGGACGAAGTTGGAAGGCAGGAGAGGTAGGATAGAGAAGGAGTGAAGAGGTAGAGAGGAGAGTAGAGTCCCTATAAGAAAGAATCTGGACAATGTCTACTTTTGAAGCGACAGTCTTAAAACATCTCGAGTCTGCGAGATAATTAAATTATTAAATTATCGCACAGGACTGTTGCACATACGGTATATATCGGAATGTCATTTCAAGTAGCATTCAATAGTCGTCAGTTTAATTACGATTATTTAATTTACGTTGCATTTCTGACCCACTCGACTTTTTGAAGAAGCTGAAAGTGGAATTGAAATCGATCGCATGAGGCTTACGACTCTTCCTTTTTCACCTTTTTCGAAATTCTGAATTTCACCGAAATTTTAAATGCCAATAAAAATAATAATAATAAAGAGATTGTGATAGAAGAAAATTTGTTATTCTATTTTCCGGCTCCTTCATTAATCCATGACCATGTGGACCATATATCCACATGTGTGTTTTTAAAATTCTATAAATAAATATGTAAGAAACGTATCCGTAAAAGACCGGTAAAAGTCAAGGGCTACAAAATGACTGTGATTGATATTTTTTTATTGAAATAAAACCTCCATCTTCCATTATCATATTATACTTATCGCATTCCTTTTTACATTTATATTATTATTTCTGTCATAACCGACTAATAATCTGATCGTAAGTCCGTCGCGATCGTAATAACTTGGCGAGTGATAAAGCAGTAATCTTCATAGGAAAGAAAGCGCGCATGACAGTTTCGCCACTGTCTGCTATAATGGCTCCTGCACACAGGACGTAGTAATGCTTGCCGCGCTGCGGAAGTTTGCGCGACAGCCAATCAATATGCTGCTTTCCGTAATAACCTTCTAGCTCTTACGGAAAAACAACATATTGATTGGCTGTCGCGCGATCTTCCGCCGTGCGGCAAGCATTACCGCGACCTGTGTGCAGAAGCCATATACGGTATGCGCGCCTGCCGCGCCTGCCGACGAGGCAATCTGTCGTACTGACCTGTAAGTGTAACACCTTTACACTTTCAAAATTTTAAAGCCGAATATCTCCGAAACTATATGCGACACTCATATAGTTGTATAGAAAAAAGTTACTCAGAATTTCATCCTCTATAACAAAAAGAAATATAATTTCAAAAAGAAAACAATCGGAGGTATATACCATTTTATGCAGTTTTTCCTTATAGAGTTTTATTTAAAAGGTGCATTACCATTTCTCAATCGTCGATCCATCTCCGAACAAAGATCGGCTTTATTCAAAAGATGTTCTTGCAACATTTTTATATTATCACAATTGGGAAATCGCCCGGCGATACCTGAGATCACAATTTCCTCGTCTGGTGGAACTTTCACGTATGGATTAAACCGTTTACTGTTCTCCATATTTTTGGTTCACTATTAAATCGAGTTCTACTCGAAAAAGTAACGTTTCCAACTGTTTTTGACGTAAAGAACACAATGATCAAAATAATTCTTGAATAAATTTGCAAGCTTCTTTTACAATAAAGTTTTTGAATGCGAGAAGTTTATCTAATAAAATAAAATATTGTAATGACCTCAATTAAAAAATAAAATATTGTAATGACCTCAATTCTTCATTAACGTTGTATATCATCATATATTAAAAGCAGTAAGTACATACATTTTTGAATGCGAGAAGTTTATCTAATAAAATAAAATATTGTAATGACCTCAATTAAAAAATAAAATATTGTAATGACCTCAATTCTTCATTAACGTTGTATATCATCATATATTAAAAGCAGTAAGTACATACCTATATGCTTGATTCTGTTGAACGTAACAAACTTTTTGATAGATATTTATTTGATAATATCTTCAATGCAACTGGCATAATGTAAGTCGCACTAGCTTTTTATTTACACAAATATTCCCACGTTCTGGATTCTATATATACAATGAATACAATGAATACAATCTGAATACAATAGTTGCTTTCCAACATCATTCTATCTTTGTTCCACATTTAGTGAGTAACGAAGATAGAATGATACTTGTGTCGACTTGTGTTTCCTGTTAGGAAGCAACCAATCTGAATGTGTATTCAGATATATTGTTTTCTTTTTCTTTCTTATGCATTTGTTATTTGCATTTGTTAATCTGACATTGAAATAAGCTATTGTAAATGAAGGTTAAAAATTACAATTCTGGCACGTGTCTCATAGATATTGAAAGAGGGCGGCCAAATAGATATGAGCTGTGCCTATATTCCCGGCAGTCCAATATGGAGTCGATATATATATATATATATATATATATATATATATATATATATATATATACCAAATTAAAGATCTCGATGAGCTGAAGACGACGAACTATGTCTCATTTTGGTAGAGTACATGGGGCCCGAGAAATCGGGCCCGAAAAAAGCAAGTTTTTAAAGGTTTTTGATGCGATAAAAATGTGAAAATAGTGAGTTATGATATGAAATAGGGCTCGTTGGAAAGCTTATGACGTCTACTATTATATGGGAACATAGTGACATTTTTATGCGCAAAAATAACTGGAAGGCCAGGTTCTCCAATTGGAACTTTGGTACTTCCTGTGGACTTTGAGCTCGGAAAATATTTCTAGTCGATTCTTCGTATTTCAAAACGTAAAATGGAGTAATTAGACACAAAAACAAATCAAAGTTATTTATTTATTGAAGTATCAGATTGAATCAAGTTGTCTGGACAGATAATGAAATAAATTTTTGCGGCGATTTCGAGTGATGGAAAAGGAGAAGTTCTCGAGTCCCCATGCACCCTATCAAAATGAGACATAGTTCGTCGTTTTCAGCTTATCGAGATCATTAATTATATATATATATATATATATATATATATATATATATATATATCGATCCCATATTGGACTGCCGGGAATATAGGCACATCTTGGCTTCCCTCTTTGCATTTTGAGTCGCGCATTGTAAGGCTCCTAGCTTGTTGCATTGTCTATCTCTTTTTAATGGGACAATACCGTTTTTCGCCCGAAAAAGGCTATTTTTGTGAATTTTTTTCTCGGAAACTACGCGGCCGATTATTTTAAAACTTAACACGCTAAATACTACATATTTTATTTGTATGTCAGAATTTTTATAAGTATGTGCGAAATATAAAAGTTATTGAAAAATACGTGAAACTGAAATGAGCGGTTTTTGCTCCATAACGCGCATGATATGATTCATGACTCGTTAATCTGAAACAAGAAAGCCAAAAAGATTATTAAACTAAGGACATTCAGTTACCACTGGAACTAGGGATTGAAAACTGATCGTTTTTCAGCAAGTTGTAGATATTTGAAAAAACGCCCGAAAAATCACCTTTAAAATAGGCAGTTTTTCATTGAAAATAAATAGGAAAAGTTAATATATTTTAATGTCGTTGGTTCGAACGAAAATAGCACATGTTTTGAATATGTAGCTATAGGCAGAAGTTGATCGGTTTAGCAGTTTGTCTCAAATCGTGCGCGCCAGTTAGAGAAAAATCGTTTTTAAAAAAACATGTTTAAAATCTCGGGTACTATTTAAGGCGGTATTCTAGTGTGATGGGTCAAAAAAGTAGAATCTTTTTTTTGCATTTTAGGTAAGTTTATGTTGTGTAAAATAAATGTGCAATTTCTTCGGGTCAGGTCAAATACCTAAGTTTTGAAAGCCGTTATGTCGTTAGGGCGAAGCGCGTCATCACGATCAACCACCTTTAGACGATACAGTTTTTCAAGTGATCAAGCCAATTTATGAAGATTTAACAGCTACTAATTTATTAGAAAGGTATTTGCGACCAGAAACTCAAAGCAATAACGAGTCGTTAAACTCGCTTATCTAGTCCTTTGCTCTAAAACACGTTCATTCAGGAGTAAAGACGGTTGAAATAGCCACTTATTTTGCTATTTATATTTTCAATAAAGGATTTTTACCAATCCTAACTATAATGAACGTTATGGACATCACTATTGGCTTCCAAGCAGAGTTATACGCATTCATGATGAGCAACGAATCAGGCGATCGGAGCAGCGCGTATCTAAGGCATTAAAAAAAGGCCAGAATCACGAGAAGGACGGAATTATCGGCCCAGCAAAACTTTTTTGAAGAAGAAGAAGGTATCCAGTATGGACCAGGCATAGCAGAATAATTGTAAGTACAATAATTTTGACTTGAAACGTTTTTAAAACTTTAAATGCGTTTTTCTGAAAACCATGTTTTCAAGATCGGTAGACATGATATCTCAAAAACTAATGACATCTTCAAGGAACGTATACTTATAGCCTCTACCAGAATTACATTGAAATACTTATTTTTACAAAAATTATAACTCGAAAACCGACGAAAATAACGTAAAAATCGATATTTCATTTTCAAATGTCCGCCATTTTTAAAAATTTTTTATATTTTTACATAAATCTGCTACCGGCTATAGTCACAAGCATATATTTTAAGAATCTTTTTCATTTTTTGTTTTAAATTATCAGGAAAGTCGGAATCATGTCTACCATCCAACACCTTTCTTTTTGAGACCTCGATTTCGACGCGCTGTACCGCCATCTATTTTGTGTATTTTTTTATGAAAATAATTTTTCTAGTAAATTTAAATGGTAAATAATATAGAGAAAAAGTTTTGATAACGATATTGTTTGTTTACTTTCTTAAAAAAATTCCCAAATAAAGCTATGAGAAAGTATACGTTACACTAGAATACAGTCTTGAGCTTATATTTCTAGTACTTATAAGTTTCAACCTAATCAGCGATTCCAGGTCTATAGAGCAAACACACTCGAGTCGTTCTTTTGTTACTTAGGGTTAATAGAACTTTCGTGGACTGCATATATTTGACGAAATTTAAAATTCGCTCGGTGAGCGCCGGATTTGACCTGCGCGCCGCTTCGAATAATAGACTTTAACTTACGCAATTTGTTGAATTTTTCGATGCGATAAGTAGGAATAGATTCTTAAAAATACATAGTTTAATAAAATATAAAAAAAAAGAAAAATCGATTTTTTTTACCAGAGAAAGGTGCTTCCTTAATCTTCTTCTGGGTCTTTTTTGATCCAGAGCAGTTTCAAAGTTCACACAATTTTTGAAATATTCTGAATACAAATGTGATACTTCGCGACTTTTCGAGTTATTTTAGAAAAAGTCAGTACATATTGTACTAAATTACTTTATATAATGCTAAAATAAAAGATATAAAAAAATACATATATGTCAATTAAATAGTGAGTTCTCACTATTGGATCTATTTAGACCCTTCTAACATGGTTAGAAGGTTAATGACATCAGAAGCGAGAAAATGGGTACTAAAAATTTTTACAAAATATAAGGTGACCAGTGGGAATGTGTTGACAGTAAACGGTTATTACTTCGCAAATAGATCGAATGGAATAAATAAAATGCCATTTTGTAGAGGAAACTTGTCAATGTTATTATCATATATAAAAAAAGGATTTTATATTATCATATAATTAAGGAATATAACATTTTAATAATTGGAATATACATTATAAATAATTGGAATATACATTATAAAGAAAAGGAGAAAAATTTGCTTGCACATATAAATTAATGGTAAGGTAAATGTTCCAATAGCAGAACATTTAACGACCCACACAGTACATAATATCGCAGAAATATCACAGCAATATTATATTTTCATTGCAATATTACCAGGGAATATTTTCATGTACACAAAAGGACGAGAATGCTGCCCCAAAACAGCATTCTCGTCCTTTTGTGTATATGACTTTTTTCTTATGTTTTTGGCATACTTATGATCCTATAAAAAAGCCTATAAAATTCATATAGTATTAATGTAGATAACATTGCGAAGTATTTGCATGGAAGTATTTGCCGTTCGGAAGTTATATTTTAGAGGCTATCCAGATAGCATAGAGAATTCTAAAGGTATTCAGTCATATGTCACCAATTCTGAGTTCATTTTTAAATATTGAAATATCGAAATAATTAAAGAAGATTTGTAAATAATCATCCGAAATATGGTAAATAAGCTGTAGTGACGACGTCTGCTATCATATGCTTATTCAATAGGTCAGACTGAACAAAAAAGTCTTTAATTAATAATTAAAAAAAATTCTTTTTACTGAACTAAAAACATCTTTTTGCATCTGAAAATGAATTCAGAATTGGTGACATACAACTGAATTCTTTTTTAATTTTCTGTGCTATCTGGAACCTTCGCTAACAGAACTCGTTCTAAAGCATCGTACACTCTGATTCGTCAATCTTTTTTATCGATATCTTGAAATTTCACGTAGTTGTTTGCAGAGTTGCTAGTTTGTTCGAGTTGCTTGTACTTTTCACACTTTTACACATAATTCCCGTTGCACATTAGTGCACTCCAAACAACACAAATTTTCAAAAATACATTCTGAAGACGTTTTCAAGACGGAGAGACGTCATCAGAATATTCTTAGGTCGTCCTTAAGTGTGAATTGTCTGAAAATAGCTAATATCCAATAAGTTTATTCACATTAATTGAATTTTTTACACTTTTACACTTAGTGCACATTAATTCTTTAGAGGTTCTAAAAATGGCGTCATGTTTTCCGTTCGTGTTACGAATGTAAATGCAATTCTGATATACTTTTCACTCTTGCTTGGGATCAAGTGTAAAAAGTGTATCAAAACTGCAATTACACTCGTAACACGAACTGAACTCATGACGTCATTTTTAGAACCTCTAAAGAATTAATGTACACTAAGTGTGAAAGTGTAAAAAGTTCAATTAATGCGAATAAACTTATTGGATATTAGCTATTTTCAGAAAGCTCACATCTTCAAAGGACGTCCTAAAAATATTCTGATAACATCCCTCCGTCCTAAAAGCGTCTTCAGAACGTATTTTGGAAAATTTGTATTGTATGAGGTGCACTAGTGTGCAACGGGCATTAGGTGTAAAAGTATGAATAGGACAAGCAACTCGAACAAACCTAAAGTGTGTACTAATGTGTACGTATATCGGGTAGGATTAGGATTATTTTTCAACTGTGCTTATATTTTTTAATAATAAATAATAAAATCTAAATAGTAAGAAGATATTATCCTATATTGCGACTTCACGTCGCAAATGCCAGTCTCTTTTCAAGACGCTACGCTTATTAACTTTAATTTTCACTAGAAAATACTAGTTTATACAGCCGACTAGTTGCCCTCGAGCTGAGTACGGATATAGTGTTGTGTCGACGATTACGACAATTGGAATGCAATTTGTGTCGCAGTGTGCATGAAAGTGTCTAGGGATATTGCAATTGGAAAGCACCCACTGTTCGGGGTCAATTTTACATAGCGTTATATAGGCTCGTCTACAATAGCTGTAAGAATATGGTTGTAAGGCTGTAACGTGAGCTATCAGCAAATGAAAATAATTCATTTCGCGTCTTACGCTCTATGCACAATGCCAGGCAACAGGCAATAGGAATAAGCATTAGCCAATAGGAACAGGGAATAGAAATAATTGACCAATCCGAATTCCTATTCCCTGTTCCTATTGCCTGTTGCCTGGCATTGTGCATAGAGCGTTACAGCCTTACAGCCATATTCTTACAGAAATTGTAGACAAGCCTTATAAGGAAGTTAACAGTCTTGTAGTTATATAAAAATCTGTGCTCTTATCCCGACTCCTCAACGCTCGGTCTAGATATATTATGGGCCATTGAAATCGGACTGGTGAGCGCTCTCATGCTTCTCTTTGATTATGGCCGGTATTCATAGTCCGATCTTATATTTAAGATCATCTTACGAGGGTGGTCTGAAAAGTTTCCGACCTCAACGTGAAGATAGCAGCACTTG